TGGGCAGACTCCTTCTCAATTTGTTCAAAGGTGGCTGTTACTGCTCGCAATGTTCGACCCATTATATCGATGTCATCAGCGTACGCAAGTAACATATGCTGTTTGGTGTACAGAGTGTCAGTTCTGTTCAGCTTTGCCTGTCTTATGCCTTTTTCCAGCAGGATGTTAAACAGTACACACGACAAACTCTCTGAACCCTCGTTCGGTATTGAAGGACTAAGATAGGACTGAAGCCAGGTCTGAAGATGCATTGGTATGGTCCAATAATGACATTGACCATTGACGTTAGTCGTTCACACAGTACACTGGATAACACTTTATATGCGATGGGAATAAGACTAATTCCTCTATAGTTGCCACATATCGTCTTGTATCCTTTTTTGTGCACGGGACACAGGATGCTGCGGTTCCAATCATTGGGCATGCATTCCCCTAGCCAAATGGCACTAATCAGCTGGTGCATGTACCTGACCTGCATCTGACCACCGAACGGATCTGGCTGTCGAAAGCGACTTTATAGTCGACGAATAGGTGGTATGTGTCGATGTGTTTTTTTGTGGGCCTTTTAGAGGATTTGGTGCAGAGTGAAAATCTGGTCAATGGTGGATTTGCCAGGTCTGAAGTCGCATTGGTATGGTCCAATAATGCCATTGACCTCAGTCGTTCACACAGCACACTGGATAACACTTTATATGCGATGGGAATAAGACTAATTCTTCAATAGTTGCCACATATCGTCTTGTCTCCTATTTTGTGCACGGGACACAGGATGCTGAGGTTCCAATCATTGGGCATGCATTCCCTTAGCCAAATGGCACTAATCAGCTGGTGCATGCTCCTGACCTGCATCTAACCACCGAACGGATCCGGCTGTCGAAAGCGGCTTTATAGTCAACGAATATGTGGAATGTGTCGATGTATTTTTGTGGGTTTTTTCCCATGATTTGACGCAAAGTGAAAATCTGGTCAGTGGTAGATTTGCCAGGTCTGAAGCCACATTGGTATGGTCCAATAATGTCATTGACCATTGACTTCAGTCGTTCACCCAGCACACTGGATAACACTTTATATGCGATGGGAATAAGACTAATTCTTCTATAGTGGCCACATATCGTCTTGTCTCCTATTTTGTGCACGGGACACAGGATGCTGAGGTTCCAATAATTGGGCATGCATTCTCCTATTCAAATTGTACTAATCAGCTGGTGCATGTTCCTGACCAGCATCTGACCACCGAATGGATCTGGCTGTCGAATGCGGCTTTATAGTCAACGAATGGGTGGAATGTGTTGATGTGTTTTTCGTGGGTTTTTTTCCATGATTTGGCGCAGAGTGAAAATCTGGTCAATGGTGGATTTGCCAGGTCTGAAGCCGCATTGGTATGGTCCAATAATGCCATTGACTTCAGTCGTTCACACAGCACACTGGATAACACTTTATATGCGACGAGAATAAGACAAATTCCTCTATAGTTGCCACATATCGTCCCAAGCAATACTTGGGAGTTTGTAGGGAGTGGGCAATTATTTGCCATTGTGCTTCTATACCATTATCGGGACAAGAAGTGCTTTCGTCAAACAGGTGGGTAAGTTGAGCGGAGTAGGCTTCTGCTATCTGTTGCGTTTGCAGCTTTTCGACCTCGAGTTTCCGTGTTGTGTTAGATCGCACCTTTGCTGCTACATTAAGATGAGTGCGAACCTAGGCTGCTACAAGGTATTGGTCTGAATCGATATTCGCTCCTCGGATCTATCGAACGTCTAATACACTGAATGAATGTATTCCGTCTATCACAACATGATCAATTTGATTTATCTTTGTTTGATCTGGAGAAATGCAGGTGGCCTTGTGTATATCGAGATGCTTGAACCTGGTGCTGCGGCGAAATCAATCAACCTCTTGGCATTGGCGCATGTTTCGCCATGGAGGCTGAAGTTTTCGACGGTGATGCCAAAAATATTTTCCCTCCCAATTTTTGTATTAAAATCTCCTAGTAGAATTTTAATATCATGGCCAGGAAATATGCTGTTTTTAGACGCCCGTAAAATATGTTTTGGGTCTGCTCATCTTTGTCTTCGGTCAGAGCATGGACGCAAATGTGTCTGATATAGAAGAACTTCGCTTTTATGCGGATTATAGCAATTCGCTCATTTACTGGAGTGAATCTGGAGACGGGGTATTTTATTTTCCTGTTAACCATAATTCATGTCTCGTTTCATGGCAGCTATGTCCCTTTCCATCGCATTTCCTGTAAGGCAACAATATCGGCTTTCTACTCCTTGAGTACATCCGCCAAAGCGAAAACTGCGCCTTTTCTGTTCAAAGTGCAGATTCGTAGATCGTGGTCCTTTATACGTTTGCGGGGGTCGTCAACATTAGGGGGGTTTGGTTTTCTTTTTCTTTGCTTTATCATAGTAGGAGGGGTTGTCTCAGGTGACATCGCGGTGAGGTCAGTGTCCACAATTGAGATGAAAGGGGGACCAAGATAAGCCTGGATTTCGCAATGCTAAATCCAATCAAAGCCATTGCTTGGTATGTGTCATCCCCTACGCCACCCGACAACATAGTTCTGTAGGTATATAAAAATTCAGTAGCGATGTAGGGTACTACAATGCATATCTGTACCTTGTTCGAAATCCATATATACCTCTCAGCATATGTAAAGTTTTGTGAAAAGTGCATTGCCACCTTCTTCACCCTTCCACGGCAATTGTAAAATTCAATTTTACCAATCATTTGTTAAATGTTTCATTTCATTTAACATCGGATCCGGGTATGAGCCCAACCAAAATGACTTTAGGTCTCACCTTACATTTGTCTACCCAGCTGAGCTGATATTCTTGGGCTTAGTAACTAAGCCCAAGAATATCGCCGTGTTGGAACGTTATCCCTTTTAACCCAATATACATACACATACGCATATATATATTTACTTGTGCTCAATGTTTCGGAACTTTATGCATTTTTCACATTTTGTCAAACGTAATGGTGACTTTCACCAAAAAGGAAGTGTTCATTTGGGTGAGTGTGTGTGTTCGTGTGATCTCCACGTAGTCACCCACAAGTCTTGTGAATTTTTCCACTGTTCAAACAACATGGCGGAATATGTGCTTATTCATATTCCTGTCGATTTATTTGTATTAACTTTGGCGAAAAAACAGAGCGACCACTTTTGAAATGTTTGCAAAAGAAGGAGGAAATAAAAGAAAAAAAATATATATTATGTCAATATTGAAAATATTTGAAAATTGTTGGGAGGACATACATGTCATCCACCAAATGGACACAGTGTGGGGAGTTAATAATTTTGATACATATTTTGAAGAAAAAATAAAACTAATAAACAAATATTTTTTTTTTAAAAATCTACTCTTATGTATAGGCCTTGAAAAATTATTTTCAACAAGTCAAAGCTTCTCTTAAAGCTTTAAATATATATTTTTATAAATCCACGCTTATAAGTAGGACAGAAAAAATATATTGACAAAAATTCACGCTTAAAAATAGGTCTTGAAAATATATCTTTATATGTAGACATTGAACATTTAAATAACATCCAGGTTTCCTCAAGCCTCTGAAAAAATATATTTTTTTAAAAGTCCACGCTTACTTATAGCCTCTCAAAACATTTTTGAAAAGTTCACGCTGCCTTTAAGTCTCGGAAAAAGTATTTTTAAAAAATCCAAGCTTCGAAAATAGTTTTTAGAATCCGCACACTGTGCTTCACTAGTCCCTACATACTCTACATATATGGCCCGTCAGCTGTTTCAACTTAGTGCAGCTTCTAGAAACATCATCAGTCAATTGTTCCCTCAAATATTTTCCTGTTTCCAGTTTTCTTTTGTCAATTTGGTGGGTGGTTGGTTTATGGACAAAACCAAAAATCTGACAGCTGAAATAGCTAGGGCGGGACAAACACAAAAAAACCCATCAGAGGAAGCAACCCATAAAAAATCCACAGAGAGGAAAAAAAGAAATAACCGAACATTAAGTTTTATTGGTGCCTGTCACCAATAGTCTGTGATTTGACAAAAATCAAATTGGCTTTTTTGTCACTCTGCCGCCTGTTTCAGTCTGAGCTCTTCACCAGTGTCCTATGGCGACAAAAAATGATTTCAAACAAAATGCAGAAAATTTATTTTTGCAAACTATTGTTGGTATTCAATGCATTTGCATTACATCGAAAAGAAAGGACTCTATTATTAGAATTTAGTTGATTCTTTTGTATAAAACAGCGAGCAGGCAGGACATTTTTAGGGAGGGACATTGCACTTTTTTCCCCCTGTTGTTGATAAATTGTTTGAATATTTGCGATGACATTTTGATTAGAGTAGAGTACCACTCAATTAGGCATCGGATATGTAATTTCATTGAAAGATACATTTTGTAGGAGAGACACTTTGATTAAGAATTTGAATTATTGGAAAACAAAATTGATTGACAATTTTAATATAAATTTGTAATTTCAAAAGAAGTAATTGAAATGAAATAAAAAAACAACATTAACTTAAACAAAAAATAAAGAGGAAAAAAACTCTTTAACAAATCCAAAACCCATTAATGGTCTTTGAAAAAAATATTCTTAAAAAAAATCAAAACCCATTAATGGTCTTCGAAAAAATATTTTTTAAAAAATCCACGCCTTGTGTTGGTACTTGAAAAAATATTCTTTAAAAAATCCACGCCTTGTTTTGGTCTTTGAAAAAATATTCTTTAAAAAATCCACGCCTTGTATTGGTCATTGAAAAAATATTCTTTAAACAATCCAAGCTCGAAAAATATTCTTTAAAAAATCCACGTCTTGTATTGTTGTATGAAAAAATTCTTTAAAAAATTAACGCCTTGTATTGGTCCTTCAAAAAATATTCTTTAAATAATGCAGGCCTTGTATTGGTGTTTGAAAAAAATTCTTTAAAAACTTCACGCGTATTTATGGATATTTGAAATTTAAAAAAAAACTATGAAAAACATTTTTTAAAAAAATTATGTTTGGAAAAAAAGATTTATTCATAAGAATATTTCTTCATTAATTCCAACATCCGTTTATGAGCCATTTCCCGGGCATTGGTACCCCACAACATGGTCATGTGATTCCATTTCTTATTCGGATACAGGCAATCCTCAACAACATTTGGCAGAATTTTGGCCAAACGTTTAACATCAACTTCACTGGACAAATTATCATTCCAGGTGTAATAGAGACCGACCGGAGCTGTAACCTTTTCCAGAGGATAATCAGGTGGTGTCGATTTTCCATAACGCTTCATATTCTCTTTAGCACCATAATCGTATTGACAAAATCGATCATTTTCATTTAGCTGCATATAATGATTGATCTGTTTGAGATTGCAGCCAGCCGGGAAATGGCCAAATAATACCGGCAGCATGGTCTGTGGAAATATTTTAAATTAATAATTAAATTTATATGGAATATTTTTTCCACTTCAAAACCCACCGTATTTGTTGTTTCGGTATCTTTACCCACAGTCTGATAATATATCTCCAGACAGGATCCCTCGGTAATTGGTGAGGCCAAACATGTACGCCACAGCAAATCAGTCCTGGGCATAAATTCCCTAATTGTTTTTTCGGACATGCGAACAAAATTTTTAGCATAGGGCAGCAGGGGGGCCTTGACATGTTTCATAAATGCCACCGGTGCCAGGGCGTGCATCATTGTGATTTTCTCATTATATCTTGGGTGCATTGAACACATGACCCAAAATGAGGTTGTACCTTGGGAATGACCAAAATATCCCGTCTTATTGTAACCTGTCTGCTGTAGAACGTAGTCAATCATTTTTGGTAGATCATAAAAACCAATTTCATGCCAACTAAACGTCCAAAATTCCGGATCGGTATCGGGATTCATAGTGGTGTGATTACGGGAATAACGATTACCACGGGCATTGCCCAGCCAAACATCATAGCCATTATCGTAAAAATAATAAGCTAAGAGGGAGATTTTTTCGTATTGTAATATATGCGAAATTTTATATTAATCTGCTTACCCGGAGCCTTATTGGGACCCATAATAACCCATGTCCCCGAACTATCCAATAGACCATGCATCATAAAAATTGGTGGTGCTCCCGGCCTCGGTATACGATGTAAACCCAAAATATAATTATCCTCTGTTGTAACAAAATGTTTTTCAACAGGATAACCGTATTTTGTTATTAGTTGGGCCTGAGAAAAAATAAAAAATCCGACTCCCCTATATTGAAAATAATGTTCATCAATATTTTATTAAAAACTCACAGTATCTAAATTTCCATCCTCAATAGTTGCCTTGGGAAAGTGGGTTTCCATATAAGTGCCACTAGCTTGAATCCATTTCAAATTTAGAAAACCAAACGCGAACAAAACATTGACAGCATTGAAACAAAACAAACTTTCTGACCACATATTAATTAACATTGAAATATGATTTTGAAAAAAAAATATTGAACAAAAATAATTTCAATTTATTTAAATGTTTACTCAAACACGCCACAATAACAAATGATGGAACCCATTACTCCTCAAATATAAGCCTCATTGATGAGCTCTAGTTTTGAATTTCATATAATTATTTTGAACAATTAGTCATTTTTAGATATAGAGATTATAAATACATTTTCCAGTTTAATAATAATAATTAAAATGGAAAATATGAAAAATTCGAGAATTTTTTTTATACATTAGGGTGCGTCGCTAACATGTCAACAATTTGTTTTAAATTATTTTTTATTTACCATTATTTTTTAAGACCCGATTTTTTCAAGGACCAATACAAGAAGCTAACTTTTTTTCAAGGATCAAAACAAAAAGATAATTTTTAAAGAATATTTTGTGAGTGTCATTAGAAGCGAGGATTTTCATTAGAAGGCGTGGATTTTGTAAAGAATATTTTTTCAAGCAACAATACAAGGTGTGGATTTTTTAAAGAATATTTTTTCAAGCAACAATACAAGGTGTGGATTTTTTAAAGAATATTTTTTTCAAGGCCTAACACAAGGCGTGGATTTTTTAAAGAATATTTTTTCAAGGCCTAACACAAGGCGTGGATTTTTTAAAGAATATTTTTTCAAGGCCTAACACAAGGCGTGGATGTTTTAAAGAATATTTTTTCGAGGCCTAACACAAGGCGTGGATTTTTTAAAGAATATTTTTTCAAGGCCTAACACAAGGCGTGGATTTTTTAAAGAATATTTTTTCAAGGACCAGTACAAGGCGTGGATTTTTTAAAGAATATTTTTTCAAGGACCAGTACAAGGCGTGGATTTTTTAAAGAATATTTTTTCAAGGACCAGTACAAGGCGTGGATTTTTTAAAGAATATTTTTTCAAGGACCAGTACAAGGCGTGGATTTTTTAAAGAATATTTTTTCACAGAATATTTTTTCAAGGACCAGTGCAAGGCGTGGATCGTTTAAAGAATATTTTTTCAAGGGCCAGTACAAGGCGTGGATTTTTTAAAGAATATTTTTTCAAGGACCAGTACAAGGCGTGGATTTTTTAAAGAATATTTTTTCAAGGACCAGTACAAGGCGTGGATTTTTTAAAGAATATTTTTTCAAGGACCAGTACAAGGCGTGGATTTTTTAAAGAATATTTTTTCAAGGACCAGTACAAGGCGTGGATTTTTTAAAGAATATTTTTTCAAGGACCAGTACAAGGCGTGGATTTTTTAAAGAATATTTTTTCAAGGACCAGTACAAGGCGTGGATTTTTTAAAGAATATTTTTTCAAGGACCAGTACAAGGCGTGGATTTTTTAAAGAATATTTTTTCAAGGACCAGTACAAGGCGTGGATTTTTTAAAGAATATTTTTTCAAGGACCAGTACAAGGCGTGGATTTTTTAAAGAATATTTTTTCAAATATTTTTTCAAGGACCAGTACAAGGCGTGGATTTTTTAAAGAATATTTTTTCAAGGACCAGTACAAGGCGTGGAT